AAGTTGTCCTTTGTTAATGGCAGAATTCTAGTTCCAGAAACATCAGATCCACGTTTTGCGGTTTGGGAGAGATGCAACACAATGGTTCTCTCTTGGTTACACTGTTCAATTACTAGTTCCATATCTCAATCAATTTTATGGATGGATAAAGCATACGATGTGTGGAGAGATCTTAAAGAAAGGTTTTCACAATCTGATATTTTCAGAATATCTGACTTGCAAGATGATATTCATCGATTGCATCAAGAGATAGCTCAATCTCTGATTATTTCACGAGACTCAAAATTCTGTGGGATGAGTTGGAGGCTCTCCAACCAACTCCTACATGCCAATGCGTTCATCCGTGTTGCTCAATTGTTGTTGAAGTTAAGACCATCAAGGAGAGGGATTATTCATTTAGATTCCTCAAAGGACTCAATGAACAGTTCTCCCATGTGAGATCCCAGATTATGTTGATGGATCCACTTCCCTCTGTCAATCGAGTGTTTTCTCTGGTTGCACAACAGGAGAGGCAACTACAGATCGAAGGTAATATTTCTAATCATGATTCTTCAAGAATATTTTTCAATTCTGCTGCACAGATTCCAGAAAGAGGTCGTTCACAAAATCGTGGAAGAGGAAGGACATTCACTGGTGGACGAGGAAGAGGTTCTAGACTATGCACCTATTGTGGAAAAACTAGCCACACGGTAGAGACATGCTTTGAAAAGCATGGTTATCCTCCAGGCTTTAGGCAGAGGAGTGTTGAACATAATGCCAATGCAGTTACAAGTGAAGATAAAGGACCTAACCAAGGTGACAGTAACCAAGCTGAAGTAAAGGAGATGATCCAACAATCAATGCATGTGCAACAGAATTTCACTCCATTTTCCTCACATACCAGCAACATGGTTCACACTAAGGCTCTTAATGCAGATGGAAACTCGTCTGGAGCAAGTAAGTTAGAAAATCAATGGGTCCTGGACACAAGAGCCACTGACCATATCACATTTTGCCTTTCAAACTTGTTCTTTGTTAAACACATAGAACCAATTGCTATTTCTATGCCTAATGGGACACGAGTATATTCCTGCATTTCTGGTACAATGGTCATTTCCCAAACACTTACACTAACAGATGTCCTATATGTAAAGGAGTTTGGAGTGAATTTGATATCAGTAAATAAACTGATCCATGAAACTAATTGTCATGTGACATTCCAGCATCAGACTTGTTTCATTCAACACCAGCAGTCCATGGAGATGATTGGTTCTGCTAGCTTGGTGAGAGGACTATATGTGATCACTCAAGATGCTATAGGACATGAAGGTTCACCTGGTAACACAGCAAGGGAGTTGAACTCTTCTAGAAATAATAGTTTTGTTTCAAATACTGTTGCCAATGATGTTTGGCATTTACATTTGGGCCATTGTTCCAAATCTGTAATAAGGTCCATGATGATACAATACCCATTTATTACTTGTAAACACATAGATTCAGTATGTGATATCTGCCATATGGCTAGACAGAAAAGACTTCCATTTACTTTGAGCAACACTATATCAAAGAATGCATTTGATCTTATACATATAGATATCTGGGGACCATATTCTGTGTCTTCCATTCATGGTCATCGTTTTCTTTTAACCATAGTTGATGATTGTACTAAATATACATGGGGTATACTTATGAAATCAAAGTCTGAGGTAAGACAACACATCTGTGCCTTCGTTACCTTGATTGAAAATCAGTTTCATAAGACAATCAAAGCTTTTCGAAGTGATAATGGGCAGGAATTTTTGATGACTGAGTTTTTTAAACAAAAAGGAATCATTCATCAAACTTCTTGCATTGAAACACCCCAACAGAATGGTGTTGTTGAAAGAAAACACCAGCATTTGCTCAATGTTGCTAGAGCACTTCTTTTTCAAGGGAAACTCCCTATTGGTCTATGGTCTTACTGCATAATTCATGCTATACACTTGATTAATCGTCTTAGCTCACCAAATTTAAACAATAAGTCTCCTTATGAGCTGCTATACAATAGTCCACATGTGATCACTCATCTTAAGGCCTTTGGATGTCTTGCTTTTGCATCAACAATTGTAGCAGGTCGTTCCAAATTTGATTCCAGAGCCCGCAAATGTATATACATTGGACACAAAGATGGCACTAAAGGATATATTCTGTATGACTTATCTTCAAAGAAATTTTTTGTCTCCATATCATCATCACAATCCATCTGATGCACATATAGCAAATGATTCAGAAACCATAGTACCAGAAGAAACACATGTTGAAGACATCCAACATCAGGAGTTAAATGATGAGACTCTTGTTAATCCCTCACATACTGACAGTACCAGCTGCACTTCTACTCCAAATGAACAAGGCCTCAGACGTTCTACAAGGGTAAGAGCTCTTCCTAAATACTTATCAGAATTTCAATGTAATTTTTCCTCTGTTGATGCACTGCCTCCTACTTCATCTACTGCTCACCCTTTGTCATCTGTCATTTCCTATGCCAATTGTTCCTTGGAGCATTCCTCTTTCTGCCACAACATCGGTTCCTTTGTGGAACCAACTACTTACAAACAAGCAGCTAAATTCCCTGAGTGGATGGCTGCTATGAATGAAGAATTGGAGACCCTACATCGCAATAAAACTTGGGACATAGTGGACCTACCACAAGGCAAACATGCCATAGGGTCTAAATGGGTGTATAAAGTTAAACATCATTCGGATGGAACTATTGCCCACTATAAAGCAAGACTAGTTGCAAAGGGATACAATCAAATGGTGGGTGTGGATTATTTTGAGACATTCTCACCTGTTGCAAAGCTCACTACAATCCGATTGCTCCTTACAGTGGCTGCCTCACGTGACTGGCATTTGGAGCAACTTGACATCAACAATGCCTTTTTACATGGTATCAGAGTCTCGCCGCCCCCCACTTTCTCTTGTGGCGCTTCTTAGCACAGGTAGGCTGGGCCTGTTGCATTGTCCACTCTTCAAGCCCAATGGGCTCTTTACACTAAGTGTGCGTGTTCAAATCGCGTAGGAGAATGTACGTGTTAATGTCAAGCATGGGGTTTATGCACGACTTGAAGCGCATGCCACTTGGCAAGCGCACGCTAGCTCTATTGCATAGTAGATGTATTACGTACCTACAAGCCATACATGGGAATTGTGCATGTTCAAGTTGTCCATTAGGGTGTGTCTCTTGATGAGGGAATGTTATGCCCTCTGACTTGAACCGATATTGTGATCTTCTAATTCTAGAGAATCTATAACTATCAATCGATGCACATAAATAGCTTTTTTTTGTCTGGCGTGGTGAATTGTTAAATTTATTCATGGAGTGCTCTACTTTGTTCAAATCTTAATTCTATTAATATTATAGAGATTTCTTAGCAACATACTGATGTGTTGTGTATTCCATTATCATGTAAGTCGATCTCAACATCATTTTTGTATATTTACAAAAGAATTCTCTTAACTCCACTAACTACTTCAACACTTCTAGGTGCTTATATGAACTATTTGCCTTCACATGTGAATATTCAAATATCTATCTACAATAGCATAAACAATTATATATGTTTGTATTCTTTTGCACAAAGAAATTTAGGACTTTTCATAACGCCGAAATAATACCATAATAGGATTAAATATCAAGTAATTTCTTGACTAGTAAATTTTTTTATATTATTAATAGGTTTTTGACGGAACGACTGGAACGTGTTTCCTCTCTAATTTTCATTCAATTTTTTACGGAATAAATTTTTCATCGAAAAATTTGTCACTATTTTCAACCGGATTTTTTTCGTCGATAATTCAGCCTTTTCTAATAGTATAATGAACAATTCAATAGTTTTTCTAATTACTTAAAAAGTATTAAATAATTTTTGGATTAATTATTATATTAAAATTTTTTATTTTTTATTTGATACTTTATATTTTAAGTAATTAGGAGAATATTATGAAAAATACCATTATTCATTAATTAATGTAAAGATAGTCTCTTGACATATGGAAAATACATATCTTGATTAATAAGAGGACATGTCTCTTAGATTTATGAAAGAACATGTTATCTGTTGTAGAAGAGGCACATTAGTGAGGTATACCTACACACACAACATCCAAACTCTTCTCTCTCTCTTTTTTCTTTTAATTGTTAACTGTATTTGTTTCTTGAATAGAGTACTGCTTTCATCGTCAGTTTTCTAACAAAATAAACATACATTGAAACTATTTTTTATTTTTTAAATTTTTTAATATATATTAAATTTCTGAAATGATACATTTATCATTTTAAAAAATATTGTGTTTTTTTACAATATATATATATATAAATTTATTTTATTGAGCGTAATTTATTAATTAATTCTTAATTATTAACAAATTACCTATCAAATTCGGTATCACAATAAAAAAAATTTATTATGCCTTTATTTATTTATCAAACAAAATTCCTAATATTTAGCATTATAGTTTGTTTAAAGAAAATTTGTGGGTAATATTTATAGAAAAAATGTGTGTACTTTTAAAGAACATAAACATAGATTCTTTTAACAGAGAGATAAACATAAAAGCAAATCCACATTTTTATTTTATTTTTTTAAGTAAAATCTATATCTTTTTATGATTATCTCTCTTTTAAAATGACGTAAGTTTATGTCATTTAAAACAAGTTAGTGTAAATTTGCAACTTAGTACATTATTCTTCAGTTATAGTTTAGTTCCTAATAATTATGTGTACAAATTGGTTCTTGAATTTATAGAATTTATTTCTTTAGTCAGTATTAAATAGACAGGTGGAGCAGAAAATACTGGTAGTAGGTAGGCACTACAGTTATAAAGCTTGGATTATTGTGCTTGCGAATTGTGGCAGCACTCTTGGTTTTTATCGAACTACATAAATTGTCGTAAGCTGTTTAGATGTGACTTTTGGCCACAAAACCAAATCAAACAGCTACTTCTTCTGTGTCATTAGATTGACTCTTCTGTTATTCCAGTTTGAGTCGTCACACAAATACTAATAAATAATAACGCTTTTTCCCTCTCAATAATCGACATCTTTTTCTTTCATCAGTTCGTTGTTTGGAGTGAATAAAGCAGCTTCTGTAACTCCGTCATCTTCTTCTTCCTTAGAATCTCTCGTTTTAAGTATAAACCCTGCATTGCTTCCACCACCACCTCGTTTTCCTCACCACCCCCTATATAAACAGGTAAACAAATACTCGTGCCTATTATAGTATAGTATAGTATACTCTTTCCACTTTCCCATATTGACTATAATGTATATTGGTCTTGCAGTTTTCTTCGGTTAATTGCTGCAGGGAGGGTAATCTGAATCACGCTCACTTTCATTTCGAAAATAGAAGGTTTTTTTTTTTTTGGTCTTATCTGTTTTCATCTTGATTTTTGTATTCTTCCTCGTAGATCTGCATATTTTATTTTTTGAGTAGTGGGAAATGTTTTATTTTTCCTAAAGTTTATTTTTTTCCCGTTATTTTTGGCATTGATCAACATGTCTTCTAAGCACGTATGTGCTTGCTGAGTTTTTTGTTTCCTTGATTCAAACATTGAGGGTACATCTTGAAACTTCAATGGACAAATAAATCTCTAGATGCATCCCTTGTCTTGATTATGAATTCGCTAGCACTAAGTGTCATTGCCTTCAGCACTTGTTTATTTTTCAGACAATGGCTACTGAAGTATATCACCGGGCTTTGGGGACTTTTCAATCCCGTTCCTATCTCAACAATTTTAGTCATCAACAAAAGCTTCGGAACAATTTAGTAAGAGTGGTGACAAAGGATAATCGCTCTGGCAAGAAGAATTTTAGTGTAATTCGATCTTCAGCTTCTCAAACTTCAGTGGTTGATACAGTGTTATCCCCTTCAAGAAGCAATACTAGTGACACTAACAAAAAATCAAGTAAGACAAACTCTGCTGTCTATTGACAATCATTGTTATGGATTGTATCTTGAAGTTGGATTCACCGAGTTTTAGTTGATTGCAACATTTAAGGAGTTGAAGTTGTCAAAATTGGATGTTATCTAACAGCTTTTCAATATGTTTATACTCAGATGAGGCTGCTTTGATCCTTATTCGACATGGTGAGTCATTGTGGAATGAAAAGAACTTATTCACAGGTTGTGTTGATGTCCCACTGAGCAAGAAGGGCATAGACGAGGCAATTGAAGCTGGCAAAAGAATTAGCAGTATTCCTGTGGATGTCATATTTACATCTGCTTTAATTCGTGCACAAATGACAGCCATGCTTGCCATGACACAGCATCGTCGTAGGAAGGTAACATGAATGCACAACTATCTTTGGGTGTCAAAAGTGACACAATATCTCTGATTAGTTTTTACTTGGAAAGTATAGGACATATTAGTAAGCATGACATGCTCCCAAAAACCATTGCTTATGAGTAAAGACAGGGGAAATTAAGTTATTTTCACAGTTACCATAATCCAGAAAAGAATAAAAAAATTTGACAGGTTATGCGATATTTATTTCTGATGATGTATGCTGTACTGTATTGGCCTGTAGGTTACACCATTTGAAGAAATATGTTCATTTGCTGCAATATAGTATTCAACGCCATTTTTTAAATTAGTAATGACCAATCTTCCTGCAGGTGCCTATCATAATGCACAATGAGAGTGAACAAGCAAGGGAATGGAGTCAAGTTTTTAGTGAAGAAACAAAAAAACGATCGATTCCAGTCATAGCATCTTGGCAACTAAATGAAAGAATGTAGTAATCTTTTTCCCATTTTCAATGTTTTCCACTCCTCCTTTACAACCTTGAGTGGGGAGCTACAGGGTCTCAATAATTGTTATCATTATTAGGTATGGGGAGCTACAGGGTCTCAATAAGCAAGAAACAGCAGATAAATATGGGAAAGAACAAGTCCATGAGTGGCGCCGAAGTTATGACATACCTCCTCCAAATGGTGAAAGCTTGGAAATGTGTGCTCAAAGGGCAGTGGCCTATTTTAGAGACCAAGTATGTGGTGATTTAGTTTTTTGTGTATTTATATAAATATAAACTTATTATAAATCTGTTTTTTCCTTTTATGCTATAGTGTTCTACATGTTCTATCATTAATATAACTAACAAGTCAGTGTTAAGTGTGTCAAGATTGATATTAAGGTTTCCAGAAAAGTTTTGTGAATCTTTACAGTAGATGGTCCTCTCCACTCCATATTTCCATTTTATAAGTTTGTGATACTTTCATATTTATTTGATGTTTAATGGGACATGTTGCTTCAAGCCTGCATGTGTTGCAGAGGAAGTATTCAATATGTGTTTTTATGGTCAAATTTCTGGTATGGTTGGTAGTAGTAACATAAAACTCCAGTCTTGAAGGATGAAGTGACTGTATATCATCTGTATGGAACTGATTCCATTGACGTTATGGTGCAGATTGAACCTCAACTTTTATCTGGAAAGAATGTTATGATTGCAGCCCACGGGAATTCACTGAGATCTATTATCATGTATCTTGACAAATTAACTTCCCAAGAGGTGGTTGGAGTATTCAGAACTATCATGACTCTTATGTGCACATAACACTAAATAGTTCAGTGATTTTTCTTTTCTTTCATCTTTTGACAGGTTATTAGTTTAGAATTGTCAACTGGAATTCCAATGCTTTATATTTTCAAAGAAGGAAGATTCATGAGGAGGGGGAGTCCCACAGGACCAACTGAAGCTGGAGTTTATGCCTATACTAGGGTAAGCAGTTATATCCCTTTTCATATTTTATCCCATTTTGCTAAGATGATGGTTGTTTTGGTATTAAAGAAGTTTTAATATTAGCATTGAAATCTGTTGCATGGAATGCTAAAATGATACTGACAGTCCGCTAGAAATAGATAGAAAGAATAGAAGTTCGAAATAGTTCCATTACTGAGGGCTATAGTTTAAATTTACCAGCTTGTTAAGCACTTTTTTCTTTCTTGCCAAAATATTTAGCTTCCATGTTTCTTTTTTAAAAATTTCAAAGATAAATATAATACTGATAGAAAGTTGTTACACATTGACCAGATGATATCCCTCATTAAAACATTTCCTTTGGCTTCAACTAGTGTGATTAGTTGGCATGGGTAGTAAGTACCTGATCCTATAAATATTAATAACTGAATAAGCAGGGTAGAAATTTTGATTAAAATTTCAGACTTCTTCTCATACCAGAAAGAAAAATGCATTTGTTCCTCAAACTCCGAACTTTGTTAAACGGGAACAAAACTAACTGAGTATATAGGTATTTCCACACTACTTGGGAACTCTGATCTATTTATTGTTAGTCATCAATTATCTACTAATTGGATTCATGCTCTATTTTGATGTTAAAATTAAGTTCCACACTTCATTCTTAAAATCTTCTTTTTAACTAAAGTCTGCAAGGCCTGACAATGTTAATACTTGGTCACAGGGTTTGGCTCTTTACAGGCAGAGGTTGGATGATATGTTCCAATAATGTTTTTTAGGTTAGTATATACACTCACTGCTTCATTTCTTCTGTTTATGCTTCTCTGTTAGTATACATTCTTCTTCTTCTTTTTCCTCTTTTATATTTTTATTTCATTTTATTGTCTTTGTTTCAGGGAATACATCATGCATTAATCAGCAGCATTATAGTAAAGTCACATAATAAGGGGAAAAACTAGATGTTATCAATATTATAATTAGATACCATGAAAATTTGAGCATGCCCCGTAGCTTGATTCTTTGGATATTTAGCAGAGTTTCGAACTGGTGGGTTGGAATACCAGCTCCCCTCTTCAGCATTGTTCTCATATGGTGAAGGAGTAGATGCTTCCATGTGCCTATTGTAGATGAATCATTGAATCTTATAGAAATGCTTTCACGTCCATTACTTTAATTGTAAACGAATTGTTATGTGAATTTTACTGGATATCCAGAAATGTTTTATTATAGAAACTTATTGCTCATCCCAAACCACTCCTCTTGCACATCTTTATTTGCTCCTCCTTCCATTTACAATGAGGATTCACATGAATCTTGGTCTTCCAGTGTTAAAAATTAGGAAAGTAAAATAATTACATAAATGCAAGCAGTAATTTTAGAACCCTGCATTGCAGTAATAATAATATCTTCATTTTTATTTTATTTTTTCAATTTTGCGTATAATGTTGCAGTAAAAGAAAAAAACCCGAGGAGGGCATGGAGAGAATCCTCATCTATTTTTTAGACATTTTTTTCCGGAATTATCTTTACTCTTCCTCTTATCAAACATAAGAAAATAATTTTCCTCATCCCACTTTCTCGGGATTCCAAAAAAAAATTATATACCAAACACCACCCTATGGATTCCTAAGGCGATACTTTTAAACTTTTATCTCATAGAATCTCACTTCCTGATACAACAAACCTTACAGCATCAGATAAGAGTGATTGCCTTATACCTAATGCAGTCCACAACAGCAAAATAATTATAGCTCATTTTCTCACTCATCATTGAAAAAACTTTTCTATCTATATATACTCCCATTCAGCCATTGAGGAGACACCTTCCTCATAGCAGAGAGCTTATTAGCATATCACCTCATAGAGCCACCGTGTCATCACATTTCCCCTGATTACTACTCACAATAACTCTATTGAGCTTAAGTTCATACTTTTACCTTATAGATCACATACTATACCCCTTTGAGGGAAAGAGAACCATTTCTATCACCCAAACATTTCAATGGATTACTTAATGATCTTCTTCTTCCGTGGGAAGATATCTAAGCAGCTGAAAATCGCATTCATTATAAATTACACTTTTGTTTTAAAAACAAATATTAAAGTCTAAAACTGAATTTGGGTGAAGAAAAATGAAAGTGCAAGCACAGCGGCCTGGATGTTATAAAACATGAAACCCTATCCATGTATGCAGTTGGTTGACGGGGAAGATGGACATGCTTGCTATAAATAACTAAAAATAACCAATCAATGCATCCATAAGGGAGGAAAAGAGACAAACATTATAAATCACGAGAAGCAAAAGACTAGTTGATGCCAAAGCAAGCATTCCATTCCCGTTCTATCGGTCAGAAGCTTCAATCCTCAAGGTAAAATCATCTGTAAATCAACATTTAGTTAACAAAAAGTCTCTTGATTCTAAATTTCAAACAAGAATGTCACAGCATCCTGTTACATTACAGTTAACTATGCACTCGTGAAAAAAGGAACTCAGGTACGTAATTTCTCACTCTAATGCATATCCGCACTAGCATTTCTATCCCCTTGATTAACCAAGCTATTCTGATCAGGGTTAATGATCTCCGGATCCATCCCAGGTTCGGGTGAACCGTCTATTTTCTCATTGTCAGAAGCATCAGAATCGGCGTCTAACCTAATGGAATCTAAAGAAGGAACATTGTTTGGGACTGATGATGGAGAGTTTTCCCTTGTCCAGAAAGAGGGAATCTTCTTGTCATCCTCTTTCATTTTCTCAGCATATCTGCTAATGTCAAATCCTGTATCATCTTTCCCACCGAATGCAGTTTCAACACGATCCAAATCAAACAAATCCTCCATAATCTTTTTAGTGTTCTGGTCGTCAGAGTAACCGAACTTGACTTTATTATAGGTCTTAGGCTCTAATATGGGCTTTACCATCTGCAGCAACACATATTTTTTTCATCACAAAATGGTAGGAGATTAATGATCAGAATTATTAGCAGCAAAAAAAAAAATGCACTAGTTAGGAGGAAAAACTATAAATTTCCCACATTGCCATGCAGTTCAAGAAACCAGTAAGTAGATTCTGATTCAAGAAGCAAAGTGAAAAAGTAAATTGAATTGGATACTTATGACTTTTTAGTGTCCTTACTGCCTTTTTATACGTAAATTGACAGGTTCGAGAAATAAAAAAATGAAATGATGAAAGATTAAAACTTGGATCCAGTCCATCACACACCTACACAAATGAAAAAAAGAAAAAAGAAAGGAGCTTGGAACCAGCGCTTCAATTCTGTACCAAGTGCACTTTGATTTCAATCTCATCTCGAGGCTCAAATATGCATGAAACATTAAAAGTTCCTTAAGAATGAAACTCATTTTTGGACTTATTCTGGCATAGAATCTAAAATAGTCAGCATCACATCATCAACTTGCAGCTTCATTTAACAATCCATAAAGTCAATGCAGATAAATCATATATTGCCTAAGCAAAGCCACGTGCTTATAAAAACACCAGCAAGAAGATATTGAAGTATGATGTGTCAGAATAGAAAAGCTTTTATTTAGTTACCGTGAAGAATGGTTCGAAGAACTTAGGTGGATTGTACAGTATTGCCAGACCCAGTCGTTCCGGATAATGTTCTTGTAATACATGGGCAGTTTCACGTGTCACCTTGACTGATATATTTGACAAATTGAATCCCTGAAAATCAATCAGCCAGACCATCTGTTCCTGTTCTGGCGGAAGATTCAAAATAGCATTCTCCATGCAGTATACCAAATACTTAATCTGTCCTTTTGTTGACTTCGAGTTCTGAATTCCAAATAAAGAAGAAAAAACTAGAAACATGGATGACTTTCCTCTACAAGATCAACAATAAATAAGATTTTAACAAGTAATGCGGGCATAATCTCTTAAATCTGACATCAATGTCAAAGCAGGGAGTAAAGGAGTGTTTTCCAGATGTTTAAATGGTAGAAATGAAACCTGACAAGGTAGTCGGGCAAAATATATTCTAAATACTTCCCTCATTCTCATTCTTCCATTTTCACTTATTCCAAGTCCAACCTAAACATCAGACTTAGATAGTCATGACAGATGTTGGAAAAGATTTTCAGAAGATACCTGGCGACCAGGTCTCATAACAAGGACTGTTCTCCCATGCTTGTCGGTATAACTTGATCTATAGATCTTCCCCGTCTCTGCTTCATGAGCAACATCTTCCTGCATCAACAAAAAATACACATCAAACAACTTTTACCAGAAGATATTATAAGAAACTGTGATAGTTTGACCTAACATTCAAGATCACAAACAATCCGGTTGAGTCAGTAATTAATTTGGTTTAACTGAATTCAGTTAATAAGTCTTAAGACCAATACGCTATTCAGTTGTTGGTTGGTAGAATATCAATCAGATATAGCCAAATCAAGGACGGTGGATCCGATTGAGAACAATTAAAGTTTACCCAGGCCTACCCTCAATTAATCTAAGAGAGGGGTGTGAACAAGGGAATAGATGCAGGACAAATACCCAGCTTAAACCATCTTAACCTAGTTATATAGGCAATAGCAACAAAGACAAGGACACATCCCAACTACGCAGTATGTCTCAAAAGTCATATGAATAAAATGAAGAAAGACAGTCACTCACCCAGCGGATCTCTTCTGGCTTGTATTCTTCTCTCCATTTTAGGGTCTGCTTCAACATTTTAGCTGCCTTCTTGACATTCCAGTTTCGTGCCCTTAAATACCTTGAGATGGATGCATCAGAACAATAAATTGGTGCCTTGCCGGACAGTGGCCCTATTAACCTTCTAACCTCATTGATCTGAAAAGAAGCATATTAATAAAGCTCACAATGCTCCTTAACTAAAAGCATTGCAGTTTAATATTTTCAAATGCCAAGTCTCAGAACAAGGTGAGAATATATGTATCTTTATGGATATACCAGGAAATCATAATTACTACACATACCTGTGCCTGCTGTTCTTGTGATATCAAGATTTTCTCATGGCCGTTAGAGGCAGTTTTCTTTAGATCCACACTCATGTTGATCAGTGCAGAGACACTAAAAGCCAACAATGAAAACTGCAAAAGTCAATACCTATTTATATAAGTAATCACTTATCTTCTAAATAATTACAGTATAACAGAAAGGTAGAACAACGCTAGATTTTTATCCAATAGCTCAGTATGCAGACAAGCTGTAATTATCATATGCTTACAAGCTGTAGAGATAACTAACTATAATATCAACAATATAGATACCATTCAGTGAAATTATGCCAGCTAAACTTTGAAGGGGCTAATGTGAATTCATCGGAGATAGTTTTCAACTTGGCTTTTTGGCTGAAATGTTGGCACTCATTTATAGCCACTTAGGTTAGTTAGTTTATTTATTAAAAAAAATAGATTAGAGGTTGATTAGTAATGGTTTTATCCATAAAAAACTTAGGGGTCAAAACAAAGAACTAAAACCCAGAAAGAAGGGGCAGAACTACATTGACGCATTTTTTTTATTTTATTTTATTTTTTTCACAGGGAAAGAGAGGGGGGAAAGAAGAGGGGGAGACCACAGCCCCCAAGCTGAAAATGTTGTCCATATATTAGGTATTATTCTGCTAAAACTTTGTTAATATATATATGATGGATGCACCCCTAAACTAATTTTCCTAGTCCACCCATGCCAGAAAGCATGAAACAACAAAATATAGTAATTAAGACAAAGCTTCATATTATATCTTGTCATCATAGAGGGAAAGTATCACCAATTAACAATAAAATTAAATAAAGAACCTTGGAAGATAATAGATTTCATTAAACACACATATGGATTAAAAGGGTTACAGATACCAGTGATTTTGGAAGATAATAGATTTCATTAAACACACATATGGATTAAAAGGGTTACAGATACCAGTGATTCAGATGGGTTTAGAATCAATTCAACATGATTTGAAAAGAATGGAATCAAACTTAGATTCAAAATTATTTTATGAAGCTTGACATTTCACTAGCAGTTCACATTTGTTTTATTTCCAACTGGCAAGTTATATCCTGTGCAACATAAAGCAAATGGTACCATCTGAATATCCAGAACACAGAAAAGTGGGATTAAAACTTTGCCATTGAGAAAATGTAGATCAAGTAAGGGTGGGACTATTGGCACTCTAATTGTCTATTCACACTACCTACTACTTAACTTTGAATTACATTTTTCTAAATTTTTATGATTTATTTTTTATAATAAAGTCAAGTCCTCATTAATCAAATTCCAATCTGTTTATTCACATTGATTAAGGAAAATTTAGAAAATTGCAATTAAAAGTTTTAGAGAGGATTTTGAAAATCAAATAAGAAATTTAGGGTGCTAATAGCTAGGGGTGAAAGTGGGCTGGGCTGAGCTTTGTCCCGAAAAGCCTAACCCTACGTCAAAAAATTTCAATTTGGCCCGGCCCAAGCCTAGTATGAGTCTAACTGTTAGCCTGGTTTGGCCCGTTTATGAAAAAAACAAATGGCCTGACTTGGCCTGTTAGCCTGTTAATTTTTAACTTTCAAGCAGAACCATGAATCAACTTTACAAAGTACTCAAATTCTGTTGCTACACCAAAAATCATAATTTCAACGTCCAAACAGAATCATGAATCATAACAAAACTAATACAATATGCATTTAAGTCATTTTCAAAAGCAAAATGCTCAAATTAAATAACATATATTTCATCAGATCCAACAAACAAATCCATACTATGTAAATTAAAATAACTACATGAATCCAACAAACACATCATGATGTTTGTAGTAAGTATAACCTCTGCCAAAATTTTTTTAATATATTCATATACACAATCTAACATGTTGAGATGTTGGTTCCTCTTATATAAGAAATAAAGATTTCTATTAAAATATAATTGAATATGATTAAGTTATAAATAATTGCAATTGATTAAATTTATATCTTTTTTTTTTCTTCAAGGCATACTTACTCTATTTTATTTTATTTTATTTAAAATAAATAGTACAATATAGGCCGGTCTGTAGGCTTATAGGCCCGGCCTTTTGAAAGTGGACCTACGGCCTTTTTTATTAAACAGGCTTTTTTAAGGCCCGAGCCCGGCCTATTATACAAATTATACTAGGTCAAGTCTAGCCTGATGTAGGCCGAGCCGTAGGCCGGCCCGGCCCAGTTTCACCCCTACTAATAGCCCCCCCCCCATCAGTTAAAATTAAATGCCTTGCCCTTACAAGCCCTTGGTACATTTTGCTTCCTAAAATTTTAAAAAACCAATATTTTACTTCATATTTCTTCATAAGCCAGCGGCTACTAAAGGCAACATAAATCATCCACCGCAGGCTCAAGAAAGGTCTTGATAGAGAAGACCTTAATTTAGGTTTCACACAGTAAAGACCAGGTAGAGCACAATCGGCTTCAAGAATATCGACACGGGACACAGGATACGACACGACACTCCGACACGTTAATTCTAAAAAATATTAGATTTCAACACGTTAAGAAACATTTTGCTATTAAATAATATTTGTAATTTATAAGTGTATATTATATTTAATATCCAATAATTTAACAAAAAATGAATCTAAACATATAATACCCATCAATTTTGCAAAGAAACATAAGATATCACACATACTTATATTAAACTCAATAAAATCGTAATCATAATCCAACGAATCTAATAGTTGGAACTAAAAACGCAACGCAACCTTTGAACCCTTTTTTGAGTCTCTGCAACGCGTGTCGGTAGGTGTCAGATACGACACGTTAGGTTTTTTGAAGTGTCGGTGCATCGTAGTCGGGAAAAATAAATGTTATTTCCGCTCTTCAAAAAGTTTAATACTATGATGCATGTATACGGATATGAGTATCAAATATGATACCAGTATGACATGGGGATCCTGTGTTTCTTTTAAAATTAGGATATGAATATAGCACACAATCAGGCCAGAGTAAAGTGCTAAGCATCCCAAGTTCCCAACTAGGTTGGCAAGGATATGAATCTGGCAAGATACACATAACATATATATTAAAAATTACATATATCATTTTATAAAACAAAAAATCTAAAATCATCATAACACATCATAAATAAAAAATAATACTTGGGAAATTCCACAATCAAGGGGTAGAGTGGAGAAAATAGTTTTTATTTTCAGCAATAATCATTTCAGACACAATAGAAGACTAACATTTATCAAATTCTCATGATATCTCACCTGTTTTTGTACAAAAATTATCCCAGGGTGTATGAATAGCATATGTTACAGGTACGACAGATATTTTGAAGTAATAAAGAAGAGTATGCTTCTTAGGAGTACCAGTTGTTGCTCTTTCACGGTTCAGAAAACTTCTCAATCGATGGATTTAAAAAAAAATTTGAGCTTGAGATCAATGTTTTAAAGATTGGACCGAATCTGGTTGAGCTAGACTGGTTGGACTGTGAAGCAGCTATTTTTCCTGTCTAAACATTATCCGTTTCAACCATGATTCAATCAAACATTAGCCACAAATTTAACCGGTTGAATATCCATTTGATTTTTAAAATACTGTTTGAGACAGTAACAAACTTGGTCTTTTATGCATCTATGGAAAATAGCCCTCAACCACCAAACAATAATAAATAAATAAATAGCCCTCAATTATTAATGAATCCGTTATAGTTGCGCAAAACACACACACAAAATTAATCTTGTCTTGTATAAAAAAAAAAAGGTAATGTTGTCTTTGAGTTAAATATAGAGGCGAATTTCTAAAACACAAATCACTATCGAAATGGACCCATAGTCTCATAGTCATAGCCAGGGTTCAGAGAAGAAAATCCACATAAGATTAATATAATTGATTAATGGCCACATCTATCACAGGACCCAGGCATTTGTGGCAAATGGATTTTAAATGGAGAATGGCAGAGGCAATTGGGGAGCAAATGTAGGATTTGAATAGGCGCTAAAAGAACGTAGTCAACATAACAACAGGAATGAAATTCGGAGAAAACAAGGACAGAGAATCGAAACAACGAACGGGAAATGAACAAAGCTAAGAACGTTGTTGGCTCACCTGATCCAACGTTTGGCGCCCGATTGTGTCGGAGCTGGTAAGAGGGAAATTGGAAAAGTCAACCCTCTTCTTTCTCGCAATGCTCAATAAGATGAAACTAAGAGATAACAATGGTTTTGGAGAGAGCGATGGTGATTCTGATTCTGATTCTAATATTTATCTGCATCCACACTGTGTGATCTAGAACTGTGTCCATGTGATCGCCCCACGTGGAAACAAACCAATAACAAACACATTTTAAACTCTCTTATATTTTTAAGTAACAGTAGTGGGATGTGGTGGAGTTTATTTAATTAGTACTCTTCGCGATCTGGATTAGATCGATTTTGGAAGTAAAAATTATTTAATCTAAATTTTTTGGTTTGATCATGTAATTATTCATTCGGTTTGAATTTTTTTTTAAATCCGATTCGATCCAATCCAATTTTTTTCAGTTTGAATTGGATCGATTTTCGATTTTTTGAAAATCCTAAAATTTGTTTCGTGAATATGGTTCAAATAAAATCTTTTATATATTGGATTTTGTAAAAAAAAAATTGAAATACAAAAGCATGGATAACATAGTTTTTTTTTTTTTGGACAATGAGATATAAAGCTCTACGCAGATGAAATTTTGTGGATGAGATGTGATTAAATTTTTTTCTTGAGTTTAGTTAATGGGTTAATGAATCACAGGTTTAGAAATTTTTGGATTATGATTGGGGAAAGACCCAAGTAGGTAGAGAAGAATTAATATATTAGATCGATTTAGATTGGATCGATTTTCATCAATCAATTTAAAAACCGATCCAATCCAATTAAAATTTGTGATTTTTTTCGATTTTCGATTTATTCGACTATCGATTTTTCGGTTCGGTCACCGCGGTTTGAATCAGTTTGGATCGGTTAATAAATACCTCTATCACTTTCCATCTATAATTGTATTAATTAAATATTTTTATTAAAAAAACTTCCCATTTTAGTATTTATTTGAAGAAATGTTTATTACCCAAAAATAAAGCATTAATAAAATGTCTTTGTTTTTTGTTTCAACAAATTATTCAATGGTTGTTTTGCTTTTCTATTTTGCTTGCTCGAAAGAAAAGGACACAAAAAAAATCCATGCAGCTTTTATTTTTTAATGAAAATAAGAATAATTTTTGTCGCGTGAAATAACGTATATTTCTTTGTATTTCACTTTGGGGAGGAGAAATCAAACCTAGCTTCTAGAATTTTAGTCATGCAGGACGTTATCGCGGGGCAAATGTATTGCGATCTAGAAGTATTTTAATTTTTTTTTTCTTGGTTAAGACATTAGCGCAAATTTAATAACTTTTTTTGTTTTTTTGGTACATCACAAATTTAATAACTTAAATAAGGAATAACATTGTTCGGTCAAGTAGTCTAATCGGAGTAGTAGGCTCGGCCTATACATATAGTTAAATAAAGTATGCTCAAGTTTTTTAAAATTTTATGTAAAAAATAGATGATAAATTTTCTTTTATATACAAACTTATAAATCTACAGGTTGATTTACATTATATTATTTATTTTTAAGAAAAAAAAATGTGTCATTTTAAATGACACATCTTATATTATTTCACTCTCCTAAAGAAATAAGATCCATATCTTTAAAAAAAAAAAATTTACCCACTCTCTCCATGATTTATCTCTTTCTCTAACTTAAAAAGACACAACTTTGTATTCTTTAAAATGATACACATTTTTCTTTTATTTTAATAAAATAACTAAATTTATTATTTTAATAATTTTAAATGAGAAAGGTTATACTTACAACTTTTTTTTTTTACAACCATATCTTAACAACGTTGATTTCCGTCAATCAACAGTTATCATTTATTGTGAACTAATAATTAATTAATGATTTTAATTTGCGAAAATCATAACAGGTGATTGACGGAAATCAACAGTGTTAAAATATGGTTATAAGAGGTTATAAAAACAAAGTTATAAGTATAACTTTTCTAATTTTAAATAGTAAAATAATATTTTTTTAATTATTAAATATCTAATAGACTTAAGCTGCCTAGGCTAAGACTTTTAAATTTTAAATACAAGACAGACTAAATTTATAATTTAGGTTTATATATAGTTAATAGATCAAGTCAAACCTCAAATAATTTACACAAATCTAATATTTTAAGCCAAAATATAACTCAACCAGCCTGTTTATACTCGTAGCCACGTCAAATAAAAAAAGAAAACAATACCAATATAATAGGGTAGTAGCGGCATTGCACCGCCTTAATATTTCCTACCTCTATGATATTGTCCTTTTGTTATATTTATGGAAAAAATGTGCGTTATTTTAAAAAATATAAAGTTGTGTCATTTTAAGAGAGAGAAAGAAATAGATAAAAGAGAAGAGAGAGTTGACAAAATAAAAATAAAAATATGGGTCTCACTTCTTTGTTAGAGTAAAAAGATATAAGTTATGTCATTTAAAATAATAAACATTTTTTTCTATATTTATTTGAATAAGTTAACAATTAATTGGAATGGTGAGGTATTGTCATTCGGTCATTCCAACGCGAAATATGTCATATAATTGGAATGGAACGAGCATAAGTTTGAATTGAATGTGGATGAAAAAGTCTCTGTTTTTTATTTTTTATTTATTGTAATTGAAAAAGTCTATTAAATAGAAATAAAAAAACAAAAAACCATATTATTTGAAGAGTTTTTTTAAAAAAAAAACAGAATAGTTTAATCAATATATATTATTGGTGAAAAAAAATTTACACTTATATTTTAACACATTATTATTTTTTATCATATTGTGTGTTTATTAATTAAAATAAAAATAATAAATAATGATGCATTAAAATTTTATCAAATATTAGTGTAAAATTTTCATACTAATTAAATTATTTAAAATATATATATATATAAAATTATTCAAGAATTTTTATACATAATTATTCAGGGATTCAAATTAAAATATGGTTTTATGTAAATAATTTAATTCCTTACTTAATATAGGTTAAAAAAAATTTGTTTTGGCTTATATTCTATTTAAGGAGGAGATAGATACATACTCAATAAAGAAATTAATACCGTATCGAAATAAAATAAAAATAAAATAAATGAAGGTATTTGACCAATTATTTAAGTAAAAAGACGTATATCGGTCAAAATATAATATTTCACTTACTAATATCATTATTTGCTTACACTATTGAAAAACATCCCCAAGGCGTAAATATTTGCAAAGTTTTAAATAAATAAACGGAAATTATTTTCTCACTTGCTCTTTTTACATCCATTTTCTTAGTACTTTTTTTTATTTAATATGTGGGTTCTTTTTTTTTTAACTTTTCTCTCGTTACAACAGAAAAGTAATGCCCATAAATTAATTAGTAAATGTGGATGAATGAAAAGAAGCCAATTTGATGAAATCATTTATTCTGCTCGGTGGTCCCCTGATAAAAATAGGAAGAGCGAAAATAACGAGGATAAAAAAAAAAAATATGTGTTCTGAGAGAGAACACCAGATCTTTCTATGTTCCGGCGTTTAGTAGAGGAGAAATTTTTTTTTGTCCAGAAATCTCAATTTTTAAAAATATGATTTTACCTTCAATTTACGATAATATCTGAAAATTAAAAATTTAAAAAAATTTAATTTTTCAAGAATCTCCAAAAATCCCGCGTAAGAAACGCCCTTTTAATAAAAGATATTTCCCAATTTGACGGAGAAGTATTGCACAATCACGTTAAGCAGGAATTGAGCTGGAAGCCGTTTGGTGTTATTTTCACTGTCGGAGAGCTTGTTTGTTTTTGCGTTTGAAAGATTACAAACGGCCATTCGGCCTAAAATCAATTGTAAGTTTTATATTTATTATTAGACATTTAATGGTTTTAATTTAGTAATCACAGAAATTAAATGTAAATAAATAGAGGGTTAATATTTCTCACGTTATAAAAGATAAATTTATCACCTACACACGTAAAAATATGTGGACTATATTTTTCTTTCTTTCTTCTCTTTATATGACCTTATATTAGCTTCACACAATTTCATATCTGTATAAGAAATGAAATTGTTTTTTATAACATCAGAAATATTAATCTAATAAAAATAATAGGTATAAGAAGATATATACGAGACCAGAGTTACATTGTGTAAGTTCTCATCTCTGATTATTTGTATTCCTTGAACAAAACTGTAAGCAAAAAGAACGAATTTAGCTGTCCAATTGAGCAAAGTCGTATCCCATCCCAATAATTGACGCATTTTCAATTCGATCAGTTGCGCCCAAACGCCAAATTATAAATTTCAAAGTTTGAACTTGAAGCCTGCCCACCAAGTTTGAACTTTGTGGAGCAGATCTGGATTTGCATCTATCTATCTATCTATATTTATAATATAACTTGCAAGTACTGTAGATTACCTAAACATTTTTAAATTGAGATAAGATTGAAATAGTAAACCAAATAATATATTCAAAATAGTTTTACACATCGTCATCATAGATAAATTCGGTTTGATTTTTTTAAGAAAATAATGATATTGATTTTTTTCATTAATGTGTATAAGGATGGGCCAGGAGTCAAATCAAAAATCAAAACACATTTATTAGTCTCAGAATCCGTAAAGCGTAACGAGCTTTCGATTTCATAAGCAGGTTACATTACATCAAAGAGTGATATTTATTGGGTACTCTAGGTCCCCCACAAGCAATAAATAAGACCCCTCTTGTATCACCTTTGAACCACCCTCGTTTGCTATGCTAAGATGCTCACAAGGGCTTACCTCAAATCCTACTTGAGCACTCTCCCCTGCATCTAGCTTCACACTTTGAAAACCCACCAACTGTTTCATTGGATTTCCATTTCGCTGTTTACCTTGCTTCATAAACAGCAATACTGGATGCTTCCCCACCATGCTTCCATGATTTTTAACTCCCATAGTGACTGAGACCGACATGCTTTGGCATGTTTCTTCACCCAACTCCGAAACCAGTTTGTAACGGATGGTTTCAGAATTCTCAACCATCAAATGAGTAGATGATTGATTTAAGTGAAGATTGTTCTGTGTGACAGAAACGAACTCATAGGAATAATTTGAGTAGCTTAGGCCGTAGCCAAATTCATACACCTTTGGACCTGTGTAAAATCTGTATGTTCTCCCAGGATAGCCTGATGCTGGATCAGCTCTCATTCTCATGTCTGTCATTGGTACTCTGATGAAATCTCTTGAGTACCATGTAAGTGGTAGTCTTCCTCCTGCATTGCACCCATTTGAGTAATAATGTTTTAGGAAAATATACTTGTGAAAATATTTAGTGAGACTCATATTAGATTTATTTAATAATAAAAAAATGCATTAGAAAGAGTGGATCAAGAATTATTACTCAAAAGTCTTTTAAATACATGTAGTGTTTAGTGATTAGCTTTTTTCCCTCTCCTTATGTGTGCTTAATTGTTGATGGATGAAAGTATTGAAGAAAATTCACCTGGGTTATAGTCACCAAAGATAATTTGGGCCAGGGCCATTCCTCCAAGTTCCCCTGGATAACCAGCCCACAAGATGCCTCCAATTTTCTTGTCAAACTTAGCTGAGGTGATATCTATAGGGCCTCCACACATGAGGACCAAAATAACTGGTTTCTTAGAAGCTTTGGCAACGCTATTGATGAGTTCTTGTTGCTTGCCTGGCAAGTCTAGGTGATCGCGATCATGTGATTCCCTCTCTTGACTTTGATCCAATCCCATAACCAGCACCACATAATCCACTTTTTTTGCTACTTCCACTGCCTGGTCTATTTGAGCAGAAGAACACTGTGGTCCATCATTACAACCAGGATGATAAATGGTGTTCTTAGCATAGTGCTGAAAGCCTTGCAATAGCGTCACCAATTTGCAAGGACGGCCATAATAGTTTCCTAGAACAGCTAGCGATGAAGCATTGGCATTGGGGCCTATCAATGCAAGGGAAATACTGGGGTTTGTCTTTGGAAGTGGGAGTAGTGAGGCAGTGTTCTTCAAAAGGACAATGCCATTCCTTGAAGCTTCAAGAGCTAGTTGAAGGTTTTGTTTGGTACAAACTTGATTGGGACCAATCGTGCCAAATGTGAGCTTGGCAGGATTTCCATCAAATAGGCCTAGCCTCATTCTAATAGAGAACAGATTCTGAAGGGCACGGTCAATTTGATATATAGGTACTTTTTTCTGTAACACTGCTGATTTAGCATGCTTATTCATGTAATCACCACACTCCACATCCATCCCTGCAAATTTTGATAACACAATCAGTCAATCATCAAGTTCCATCAAAATCTAGAGTTATGTTGTTCAAACACCACTTTGATAGTGTGCATGGTCCAATCCATGTATAATAGGGGATCAATCCTCGCATATCATAGTGGTGTAATAAAAACATGGGTAAAAATTTTACTCTATGAATTTAGGGAACCGTATGTTTTCTTCTTTTATTTTTTTGTTTGTGTTCAGGCCCAACGATAGATGTAGAACTAGATATTATGCAAGATTCAAGCGTTTTTCTACCTTAAATATTATGCAAGGAAATAGCACATAGCCCAATCCATGACTCAAAAGTGGAGTCCAGTCGTGAATTTTTGGACTTGATATTGCAATTATATGCTTACTGCCAGAAAGGACCTTGATGACTGATAGTGAGAGATTAGGTTAAGACAAGCAGGCATATGTGGGGACCAAATGGAAGTGTGGGCCAAACCATATGAGTATATGACTTTGCTAGGAATATTGACAAAGAAAGTACACCGACCAAACCAAGTGAAAAAAGCATCATGTATTGAGAACTTTGATATGATTGGATAATTACCCCTTGGACATTGTGATTTCATTTGTATAAAGATTTATTAATATTCTATGATAATCGCATAAACAAAGAAACAAAATATACAGATAAAGAAGAGAGGATTGGGCAAAGTCCCACTATACCTGCCCTAAGGACATCGGCTACAGCGTCCTCTGCTGTTTTTGCATAACCTTGCTTATCGTGTATGATATCAACTGCTCCACAATCAGACGTAATATACCTGATATTTTACAACAAAAAACGTTGGTATTAAGATAAAAGTAATGTGTCACTCTCTCATTCCGGTGAAATCGGTAGCTTCAAAAAGAAAGGGGGAAAACGTAAAACGGTCAAATTGAAAAAGAGGTTTCACCAAAAAAATAAAAAAAGAAGTGAAGTGTCTTGGCCAGTAAAACCATTGCTTCAAAAAGAGAAAAGCTAATATACCCATCGAAATTCCACTGTTTTCTTGCGGTTTTGGTTAATAGATTGAAATCTGCACAGTTTGGGACCCCATTGACACGGTTGTAAGCACACATTATCCCACTGGCTCGTCCTTGTTGTATACAACTCTGAAATGGAGGCTGATAGGTGTCCGCCAAATCTTGCAAAGTGACCTGAATCATAAAGGATTTCAAGAATTCAGAAAATGGCAAAAAGACAGGAAGTAAACAGTAACAACATATAGCATCACATCAATAATCTTAAACCTTAAACATCAAAAAGTAACGAGAAGGTCATACATAGAATCATAAGTATATCTGTGTTTTCACATATATTTTAGCAGGTATAAAATAATTATCTAAGTCTTAATTCTTAAAGAACATAGATGCTAAATCAGTGAAGTACACTAAAAAATTAATAGAAACAAAAGCACACAATTTGACAGCAAACTATTCAGTAAAGAATGATAAAGAGTAAAGCACTTAGCCGCACCACAACTACAATTAAAAAGAATCCAATGTACAATTATTTAAACAAAAAAAAAAACACGCACACACACACACTGCCTAGATTTAAGAGTAGCAGAGCAAAGAACACAAGACATGACATTATGGTTCAATGTTTCAAACATTCATTGACGGCACAAACCAACAATTAACAAAGCAAATTACTAAAAAAACGAGCCCAGCAGATTAAACTAAACTAAAAGCCAATGGCATTAACACACAAAGATTCTTAACACACTTACGCGAGCATCGAAGACGAAGCGATCCACGCCATTCCAATTGTCCAAATCATAAGCAGTAAAGTGCTTGCAACAAGCTGAAGCTTGAAGACGCTCTCCAAGTTTCCCTCCATGAAATGAATCACCTTGAAGCCCTCTCACAAACGCTACAGCATATTTGGCATTCACCGTAGGGTCTTCACCAGCTGTCTCTTGCCCCCTCCCCCATCTGGGGTCCCTGAAAATGTTTATGTTTGGAGCCCAAAACGTCATCCCCATAGCTTGCCCAGCATTATACACTGCTCTAGCTTCTCTTCCAATAGCCTTCACGTACACACACACACACACACACGTTATTATTCATAAACTTATAAATAGCAACCATTTTAGAAGAGCAAAAAAAATGGAGTGAACTGACCTTACTAATTTGATACCAGAGGTTGGGATCGAAGGAAGCAGCAGTGAGAATAACTTGAGGGAAGCTGGTTGCGGATTTGATTGTGCCATTGAATCTGATGCCAGGACCAGCGTCGGCAACACCGTGCAATGCTTCGCTCCACCACTGGTAACTCGGGATACCGAGTCGGGGAATGGGGGGAGCTGAGTTCACGAGTTGGGCGAGTTTCTCGTCCAATGTGAGTCGTGATACGAGGTCTTTGGCTCTTTGAGAAATGGGAAGCTTGGGATTGCAGAAAACGAAGGATCTGGTTGATGGGTTTGAGCCATCACAAGCATAAGGAGGCTGAGTTGACTCGGCGTGAACGAGGTGGTGGTGAATGAGAAAAAGGAAAGAGAAAAACGTAATGGCAATGGATGAGAGACCCATGCTGTAATGAAATGGGAAGTTCAGTGCAGATTGCAGAACAGAGCATGTAATTGTTATAAAGCAAAAGGTACTGCTCTGTTACAGACACAGTTTGCCAATCGTGGATTTTATTTTATTTTATTTTATTTTAATCCACTCGTGTATAATATATCATTCGTAAATTATATAACATTGAATTTCTTTAAAAAAAAGTGTTAAGTAAAAATATTTTTATCTTATAATTATATTTTATTTACATGACATTAGCATACCATCTCTGTCCTACGCTAGTTCCTGAACCTCTTTTCTAATAAGAAAAAAACAAATCCATGATAAAAATTTCAATCTAGCTAGGATTAATTTTAGTTATGAAATTGTGAAGACAATTTTTAAGTTGAGTTGATTATTTGGAGACTTATGTTTTATTTTATTTAGATGAATACTAAACTTGGTAGCATGATCACGTGCGTGACCATATCTGACGACGTATCGAGACTATTGTGGCGTGCTTGATCAGAACGAATCTTCTGAATTTTTTGCAAAAGTCCTTTTATAAGCATCTTCCTTGCTATGTGAAAGAAGGGATTCAAAGAAAGGGTTCTTACCTATGAGGAAATCTTTGCTCTTCTAAACAAATTGCCAATACCCCCATTGTTTTTAATATAAGAGAACTAACCGTAACTAACCATGATTAATAATGAAAGAACTAAAGAAGGATTGTTCGCCGCACAAAAAGTGAAAAATGCTTTTTGTCTTTGAACATTTAGTTATAATACATCCACTACCCTTTAGAATACGACACAAAATTAAAGATTAACTATATAGAGAATAATTGGATATTTATTGTAAATATGTTATAAAAGTTATATTAACATAAAATAAGTGTAATACTTTCTTATATTACATAAGAAAATTATTATATTCTACGTTCACAATAAATAAAAGAGAGAAAAAAGTTGAAATTGAAAAAAAAATTATTATGGAATTTATTTGAAAAATATGAGTGTAGGAGATAATATTTTTCTTATGTAACATAAGAAAAGTATTACCCATAAAATAGTATAAGTATTTATAAGTATATATATTTCGTAAAAAATATTGAAAACTTTCTTATATATTCCTCTGGAAGACTGATTCTTACTCCAGCATAAATCTTACCATTAAATTTTATTCTTACTTTTTTTTATCACTTTTAAATTAATAGTTAAAAATGCTCTTTGAGAAATATTTAGAAATATGGTTAAATTAAATGGTTAAGGATTTAGAAAGATTTAAAAATGCTCTCTTATGACAGTGTTCGTATATTTGTTATAGCAACTGTCTGAGGGCCTAGCTGAGGGAGACGGGTGGTGAAATTGCTGTCACTATCTCTAAGAAATGGTGCCTCTTACTATGTTTTGTTAAAAGTCGTAGAAGTTGCAGATCCCATATCAAGTACAGGGAAGGTTTACTACTTTTGCCTGGTACTGTTACACAAGTTGACATTATTTACTGTATCATCTGCACTAGGATTTGCATGATGCCACAAAGACTCTAATTTGCAAAAAATTGCAAATTGCCGATTCTTACAAATGAGTGAATGACTCAACGAATCCCTGATTCAGATTACATGTGAGCACGTACCCCATATATATATATATTTATATTTATATAGTGTGTGTATGTGATCTTTCACTTGTTTGAGTTGAAGAAAGTCTAAACTAATCAAATCTAGCAATATGATTGCAGGGTATGTGGGCAGAGGCATGATTTTGCCCCGAAATTTCAAGGTAAGTTGTTTTCAGTTATTATGTATTAAATACACGGATGTGTGTGTGTGTGTGATCTTTCACCTGTTTGAGTTGAAGAAAGTCTAAACTAATCAAATCTAGCAATATGATTGCAGGGTATGTGGCAGAGGCGTGATTTTGCCCCGAAATTTCAAGGTAAGTTGTTTTGAGTTGTTATCTATTAAATACACGGCTGTCTAGTTAAAAGATTATTATATTAATCTTGGATTTAAAGATTTTCTTAGGTATTTATAAATAAGATACTTTTGAGATTAGCATATTGATCATACCAATACAATATAGACCGGCCAATATGTATCGAGCCCAATCACACACAGTAGATGAGAGAAGACTTTGGGTTGAATTATCTGCTTCTTGGACTGTTGGTGGCTTAGCCGTTTGTAGTGAGATGAATATGATTCTTCTTTGGCACGATGTACCTGATTGGGGTGGATACCTGCAATGACATTCTGATGCTCAAGTCAGTATCAAAGTCAGACTTATGTGGTATTCTTACTTAATTAGATTGTTATACCTGAGTATGTACACTTTGTTTATATAGTGAATCTGATGCCGCATTGGGTAGGCGGTATGCCTTCTGATTGGCTGTTTATGGGCTGCAGGTTCAGCTGGTGCCTTTCTGGCCTTATCTCTATTATGTCAAGCTATCTGGGTAGAGTGGTGGCAAGCCGGTGTTGTCCTTTATGTATTGGTTCTGTGGCGCGGTGGTTTCTTATTCGTGCTTTATTGACTTATTTCTTAACTTTGAAGTCATGTTTAAAGATGGTTTAAGTGCGATGAAGCCATCGCGCACTCTGATGTTTGGACTTTTAATCTTTGGGTTTTAATCCTTGGATGGACCTATTGTATTTTATCCATATCACATATCATTATATACTGTGAACAACGACTTTGTTAAAGGAATGATGTGCATACAGTAACAGCATAACAACAATAGAGAGAATGTCTATACTGCAAGTTTTACCTCTTATTTATAAAATTTATATATGAATAGTAGATTTTTTGACCAAGGGGCTCTTTTGGGAGCCCATATCCATATTCATAGCTATCTAATTAGGTTTAGTTTTCCTTTATTTGCCTTAAAAAAAAATAAAAAAATCACTTGTCCTTTCTTGAGCCTAAAGTATCGGTCTCTTACATAATTCCATAAGTATATTCAGTTATCCCTGCCCATATTTCATTTGAGCACAGAGGTCGATGAATTGTTCTTAATTTATGACTCAAGGTTTTTAGACTACCGAGTCTCATGATTCATGAATGCCGCCTTTACTTAATTATTTTTCCCTCAGAATGAGCTGTTTCAACTTAATCTGTAGCGAGTCATGGAAGTATGTTCCTAACTTCCTAGGATGCATGAAATTAATAGTTGTTCCTATGGGGTATTATTGCATAAAATATTTAACTCGTGAATTACTGTCAGCAATTGTTACCATTTATTTATTGTTGCACGTGAATTAGTAGCCAGGAGCATTTTAATGAAAATCTATTCTGTTTAAACTCTTCATTAACAACACACCCCTTTAATACTTCTTTTTTTTCAAAATATATGGATCCATTCCTGGAGAATTGATAATTATAATACAAGCATAAAGATATATATTATAACAAGTATTGATAATTTTAGGTTGGACTTTGTCATTACTCCAACATGACCAAGGGATTTATCATAAAGCTGAAACTGCATGTTACAATAAAAATAGGACTGGATCTCAAAGAGGATCCATATGATACATTATTCAAACGAAATGCGAAAATAAAATGAAACAGGAAGGTAAAGCTAAAGATAACTCTTGTTCACTTTAGTATATGTCACTTTGTTAACTTCACTTTCATTTTATTTTTGAATTTTCCCAAAAATAAACTTTTACAATATATATCTCTGCAAATTATTTTTGATATCATTTATTTGATTTTAAGGGTAAAATAAATAAAATATTTTAAGGTTATCATAATTTAAATGTAACCTTAAAAAATTATTATAAAAAAGAGAGACAAAGTAAAATGTTAATACCTTCTTACTCATAGTTGGTTCTCCAATCCGCTCTTGTTTTTAAAGACCAATTTGCTTTAATAAAAATAAAAAAAAATAAAAAGCAACATTTTCCCTAATCTAATAAAGATTGGTGCCAACTGCCAACTCCATACCTTCATATTCTCTCGTCATGATTCCGAATACGACAATAATATAAAAAATTTAATCTATTATTATTTATTTATTTTTGGTAAGGAAGGGCTAAGCCCAAAGCAAAGAAATAGAAAGCAGCAAAGCAAAAAAAAAAAAAAAAAAAAACACCTAGACAGAATCATCTCAAAGTGAAGTCCCTAAGTCTGGAGACCCCTGCTGCATTGTAATAACCCTTACTAGTAATTAGAGATTTAATATTGAAGAATGATTAGAAGTAAAAGAAACAAAATTATTTTTGGTAAAAAAAGAGAGTTAAAATGACAGTTAAGAAGTAAAAATGCAGGTAAATAAAGTTATCCAAAAATAAAAAATAAAATTATAAATATTATCATAAAAATAGTCTTGACTAGTGTGTAAAGTTTGATATTGAATGGAAGTGTGTAGATAGATAAGTTGTTACCCAGTTAAACTAACTTAATTTTACCAACCGTAAACTCCTTTATATCCGTTCATTCTACTTGTACGATGCCCTCTTTCTTCTTCTCCCCATATGCTGCCCGAAGCTTTTCCATGGGAAAGGGGCTTAGGTTTAAGTTTTTATTTTCTTTAATTTCTCCTCCAATCTTCAACCAAATCACAAAGTCCACTATATGAAATCGATTGTAAACCATCCAATGAATCCATTCCACCGATCAATTTGAGCTATAGTTGAGTGTGCTAGGAGTTCTTTCTTCCTCCCATTTTCGTGACACTATTCATCAAGGAGGGGAAAGTGCATTTTTGAAGAAGCTTTGCTTGGAGATGGATCTTTAGGCTTTGTACAAGTGATTGGAGGTAATAAACCCCTATTTTCATGGCTTTATTTTGATGATTTAAGTCATGAAATTTATGAGCATATTTGGGTGGGAAATAAATTGGTTTAAAATTCGAATAGATAATGTTTTATGGATGTTTTGGATGTAGGAATGTTAAATAAGCATTTGTGTATGTATAAAATGGAAAAAAAATCCCATGTCTATCTCCCTTTATGTTTCGGCCATGAGAGTGTAAGGAGGGAATGATGTGCAAAATTGTAATTCATGTATTTGGAAGGTGTAAGGTGTTGGAATAAGTGGAAAGTTGAGGAATTAGTAAGAATCCTTAAGTGAGGAAAAATCCTATGAATAATTGCCCTTATGTTTAGGCCTTGGGGGCTTTGGAGAGACTTGTCATTACAAAAATTAATTGGAACTTGATGAATAGATATATGTGTATGTGTAAGTTGTTAAAATAAGTAAAGAAAATGAAATGAAAAAAAAGAGAAAACCTTGGTTCTTTCCCTTGGATTTCGGCCTAGGAGGTGGTTTAGGGGTAGATGTTGTTACATCTCATTTTAATAAATGTGTTGTTTTTCAAAGTATGAAATTGATGAGTCAAGAAGTTAAATGGCTTGAAAAATTATTGGAAAAATATCTTGATTCCCTAAGAGTATGTCCACGGCCTTTTGAAGGAAAAATGGCATGATTTATGTAGAAAATTCTCAAGTGAACACTTGATTAAACTAAAGAACGCTAATGACTATAAAATGGTCTAGACTTGTGTATTGGCATAGGGTTGGCAAAAACGTAAAGAAACGAAAATAAGCGATAAAATGTATGCCTTATGTAAGGATCATGGCATAGGATCATTTTATTGATTTTGTTGTGGATTCTTCTCTAGGTGTGCCTAGGGATTTAAAAGGATTGGAATCTTATTGAAGCGATATAAGTAACTTGTATCACAAGTAAGCGGATTGATAAAGCTTCAAGAGGTAAGCTCTATGTTTAAGGAGTCTTTTCCTGCTTGAGTGCTCCACCATGGTTAGTGGACTATGGTTGGACTTTATGACTGTTGTTTGATACTTTGTATAGATGCATTCATATAGAGCTATTTGATAATATGATATGACTTGTTCTGATATGATTTATGTAGTGATATATGGTACACTGATGTCTTCTTGGGTCTTCCCTGGGACTGACGATGTACACCTCTGACATGTTCTGGTTCCGCTTGGGGTCTTCCCTTGGGAACACGTGCGTTGATTTCCGCTTGGGGTCCTCCCTTGGGAACACGTGCGTTAATTTTCGCCTGGGGTCCTCCCTTGGGAATGACGGCGCACGCCTCTGATATGATATGATATGAAATATGTTTTGTTCTGTTATGATATCTATTATAAATGCATTTGTATACTCTGTATCTGACTTTCATGCAGGAGTGAGCCAGGGGTATGGAGAATTCTCTATAAACCTAGAGCTTACTGAGATTTGTAATCTCACCCCTCTTTGGGGACATATTTTCAGGTGCCCAGATTCCGGGTGAGTCCTCACTAAGCAAAGACGCGACCCGTGGTTGAGGCGTTGGGGACGGATCAGTTTTTGAGTAGCTGTAGGCTGCTAACTTTTTGGAGTGCATTTATGTTATTTCGTATTTTCGCATTTGATGGATCATGATGTTAGATCCTTTACTTTGTATATGGCATGTATATGTCTTGTACATGTTCTTCAGTTTGATGCATGTACATGTTTGTATTCAGGCATGTTGATATGACTATGTAGTATTCAGTTATGTTTATGTATTAGATTGCATGTTGTTAGATTAGCGGCACTGAGCCAAGTTCTGCATGCGCCCATGGATGGGTATCTGATTATATTTGCATGACTGGTACTTCTGGATATAAATATTGTTCAAACTGTCTATCAGGAACTCTTGGGAGTGGGATTGGAAAATCTCCAGTTGTTTGATTTACAGAGGTTACTTTGTCCGATTTTCATTTACGCCGAATAAGAATTTAAAAAGAAAAAGAAAAAGTTAGGTCGTATTTTCGTAAGATAAGTCTTCCGCTGTTTCTGTTTGTATCATATGCATGTTAATTGAACCGGCTCGAGACGAGGATGTTACATGCATCATCCTGCAGGAGCAAATCAAGAGCTGTTGGGGGTCTCACGAAGTGTCAAACGTCATCCAACTCCGAGTTATCCAAGAGGTAATTAGCCAACTGGGATGCACAATCGTTCACTTCCCGAAAGGCATGCACCAGACGAATCTGCCAATCATGCTTCAACCATTCCCGTATCTGAGTCAACAAATCCGACTCACGAGCATCATTAGAAGGCTTGGTGAGCAAGGAAATAAACGTTACTGCATCACATTAAATAATTAGACTTCTCCACTCCTTGTTGCAGGCAAATTCCAAACCTCTCAAAAAAACCCTAAAGTTTTTCTCATAGCACTGAACACTGCCCTACTTTGTAAGAGAAACCACCTAGCCAAATTCCTTGCGAGTCTCGCAACAAGCCATCACAATTTGCAATACCAAGATTTCCCCTCGCAGCACCATTTCTATTAAGTTTCACCACATCAACTGTCAGTGGCTGCCAATAGATTGCCTTGCTTAAGACTCTTCCCCTCATAATCCTTCGATTAACAAATTGTAAAGTATCATGGATCTCCATAGCCTTGCCGCCTACCATCCGCACAGAATTGAAATTCAGTACTGGCCTACTGCTATGAACCCTCTCATTCCTCCAACCCTAGATCATCCAGCAGGTGATCATACAATTAGAATACTAAGAAATGTCCCTATCAACTAATCTCTGGCAATGTATATTCATAACCAAGAGAAGCAGAGAAGAAGTTATTCCCTGATGCAGAAGGCCAGAGATCTTTCCAGACATGCTGACCGAGTTAGTGTTACAATCACGGCAAGTATATCGGCTGTACAAGTAATAAAGTAGTGAATAAAATATCGTTCACACAAAGATTAATGAGACCAAGTATTGTTCTCACTATTCTCTCTAATTTGGACAGATCAATTTAAGTTGAGAATGATTTGTATTAGTAAAATTAAAAACAATCACTATGAAGTAATTTAAATTAAGAACGCAAACAATGAAAACAATTGACGAAATTATGATGAAAAATTGTAGCCGGAGTGCACTTCACCTTTGATCCTCCCTTATTAATCTGAGTTAATTCTTATAATCAATTACCTCAATTGTTCAGACAATTCATCTTCTTTTAATTAATTAGTTAAATCCTAATGTCTTAGTAATTTTAACTCTTTAACCTTATTGGAATTCTAGTGTCTTAATAATTCCTCTTAAGTTAAGCAATAATGTTCAATGAATTAAGCAGTTTGCAACTCAAGCAAGTCTATGTCTAGATCATGCAAAAGTTATTATTTTACCTTGGTCAGAATTAAAATCTTAATATGCTTATTGTGAGCTCTAACCCTCAAATCCCTATATGAGTGATCGGTTCAGATAAAAATGAGTATGTGGAATTAAGTGAAGAGAAGAGAGAGAAAAATAAAACATAGGTCTTATAAATTTTTATGTATGTAAGAAATAATTTTATCTCCTATAATATAAAAAATATCAAACCGAATAATAATGTACATGAGAAACTTGTGACGAGAGATAACATACACAACACGTATAGACTAATTGCTATGTACAACATACAACACTGTATGTAAAACGTTTAAACATGGATGCCTGCTTTATTTATGCCCATTTGTCAACAACTACTTTTGAATATGGAAATCAATAACATGCTCCTTCCACACGCCGTCGTCGAGATATGCCTCAAAGAAACTTACTTCCCCACTTAATCGTACAATTAACGCAGCACTACTCCTAGTGCCAAACAGACCCTGCGTATAGATTGATTGGATTGGTCAGTACTTAAGTAAAAGGTCCCGTGATTCTGATTGAAATATGTATTGGGGTACAGTTATTAGTTTACCAGTGGTGTTTCTACTTCAACAAAAATGGAGCTCAAATTGAATTCCCAATCAAGAGAGCATACATGATGTAGACGACTTTCTTCAGCTTTAGTTTTGTCCTTCATTAACTTTTGAATTACCTCCTTCACAGGTATTTCACCTTCCCCATATTTAACAAGTTGTTCTTTGAAACCCATTTCAAGACGCAGAGCCTGTAAAGAGGTAAAGAAAAATTTTGGATTTTAGTGGGAGTAAAGTTCAAAAAAAGATAAGAATTTATGTGAAGTTGGAATAATATTTTATTTTATATGATGACATATATCTGGAATCAAATATTCTATAAATTAGAATATATCTCATAAGTTTTACAAATATTTAAAATTTAAGAATATAATTAAAAAAAATTAAAAAGAATGTTTAAAATTAAAAAAGCAATGTATAAAATTAATTTATATAAGGGTAAATTGATTTAATTTATGTAAAAAAAATTGTTTCAAAATTTATAAAATAAAATTTTAATTAATATTTTTTTTATTTCAGTTATGTACGTTCAATCTCACCAAGTTTTTTTTTTTCTAGATATATATTGTTTTTACAATTTCAACCCTCGAAGGATATTTTTTTAATGTTCGAATTTCCGATCTTGAAACTCAAATAGTCACGGCAACCGGCACCAATTAGATAGCTCACTCAAGTTTTGAAACTATCTAATGATCAAGTCATTTAACCTACCCATTCACTCAATCTCCTGCATACTATGACTCTTAACTTTTTTATTTAACCAATTTTTATTTTATTTCAGTACAATTATGACACTGAAATTTAAAGTTATTACTTTATGGAAATTTCTCAATATAGTGTGATTTGTTTTTTTTTTTAATAATATTAAACACAACTGAAAGGTATATAAGTAACCTTATGCCACGGTGAGTCTAGCTTCGCGTTTGAAAGTACATGCAGCCCGGGAGAAACCTCTTGAATAGTAATATGTTGTCCTTTGGGCCTGTTGGAGATGTAAACCATCGATTTTGATGAAATATCGGCCACGATTAAGTTGAAACCATTGTAACAATGAGCCTCTCTTTTTAAGCTCTCTGCAAATTCTTTCGGATTCTTTTTACTCTGCATTATAAGTTCAAATGAGTATGAAAATCCAAGAAGAGAACCAAAGAAACATCAATGGTTAGTTTGAATTTTGGAACAGTTATACATTGAGTTTAATTGAGATGGAGAACAATTGAGACTTCAGACATAAAAAATAATGTAAAAGCAAAGGATCCCCTGATTCTCTTAGTGTTCCGGGTTAACACAGCGAGCTATACGTGCGCGTACAAGAGAGATACTCGGAACCAGGAATAGGCGAGTAGACATGTCCCTAACTGCTGCGCGTACTGGAGTAGCAGTCAGTTGAGTCAGCCAGCACTTCGAGTAAGGGAGTCTTAAGTGGGCCTTAAGATAAGAGCAGACATTAACTACACAGAGAATCCAGATTAATGTTCGTCCAAACACTTAGCATCTGAAAAAGTATCTTATCATTCTTCCTCTTTCTAGTTATTTTATTTTATTTTATTTTCTTTAGGTTAAGAATATATAATTGGATAATATATAAACAAAAATTATATAAATAATATGTGCCAATACATTACAAAATTTTGAAGTAAATCAAAAGTAAACTCAATATGTTATATACCTTAAGAAATGAGACAGGCAAATCTCCCCTACTTTTAGCCTCGGGGAGGGTACGAAGCTCCAAAACATTGGTAAGAAAAGCTATTCTTCCTTCTCTCGAACAAGCCAACCATGTCCCTCCTGCTATCTCATCTCTTCCTCCCAGTATATCACTACCTTCCCACCATGACATGGGTTTCGTAGGTCTTCATACAAGAAAAATAAAAAATAAATTACCATATGTAAAGGCATGCATGCACCCCAACCAAACAAGAAATTAATAAGAGGGGAAATAGTACTTTTGGTTAGAGAAAACTTGCCTGTTGTGATATTCATCTCTGTTATTCAAAAGAAGAAAAGGGTAGAGTGGGTGGGCTTGCCAAAGAAACAAAGCTATGCACATCCTTCAAGAAAGGGTGGGATTTGAAGAAAGGTATTGAGTTGTCTAGAGATCTCTCTTTTAAGAGCCAAAACAGAACAATCTTACTCCCAATCACAAAGTCGCAAAGCTACCAGGAAAGGACCACTCGCTAATTTTCTATGCACAATGAGCATGTTTTAGTAAATAAATTACTTAATTTATAGTTAGGCGATGCTACCCACTGATTAATGACCGACATAAGAGAGAGAGGGAAAGGAAAACGTCATTGACTAATTGAACATTTGGAAAATTGATGCAGTTTAGAATTAAAATATTGCTATTTGTTTGTCATTTTTTAAATAATTTAGATATCCATTTTTTCCGGCCACCAAAATTAACAAGCATCACTGTAACAAAACCATCATATAATTAATGTGTATTTGTCGAAATAAAAGGAATTTTTGTGCACTATACTACAATCAATTTACCTCCCTATTATTGAAAAGGGGGATGATTTGAGAAATTAAAAACAACCACTTCTAATAACAAATGGGGATATGCAGAATTTAGGTATTAAAAATTGGGGTTTATATTTGTCATTTAACATGACAGAACAAACTTTTCTACACATATAACATTTTGTGAGATTCACCTTTTTTGAAGAAAAAAGAAAAAAAAAAGAAATTACAGGACACAAAACGAATCTCTATAATATTACATAGTCATTTTTTCAAAAGAAAATAACTCTTGTAAAACCCTTAAAAATTATTTAATTTGTGTAGTTTTTCTTCACAAAAAATAATAAATAATAATATCACCCTTATGGACCTAAATTTGAAACATTCATCGGTTTGTGTCATTAAAAGTGAGAATCTAATTTTTACCCAACAGCATCTCTCAGACATTTATCAACGAGATGGAGCAAAAGTAAGGACTATTCATTCAGTGTATCCGGTAAGTTTGATTGCATTTTATATTCTTCTATTTCGTCATGATCCTTGGTTACTAGCTGCCTCATGTCCCAACGAAGCTTAGATAACTCTGGCAGTCAAGATATTTAAACGGTTAAAAAGAAAATGTGTCCTCTGTAAAACACTCTCATAAAGGATAAGAAGAATATTTCTCAATCCTACAATTTTCTTAAATATTTTATTCAAAATTTAAATTTATATCTCTGTCAGTATAAAATATTTTACGCACAAACACACACACATATGTATATATAAAAGATAAAGCCAGTTTATACTGATGTAAAAATAATAAGTTTTACATTAAATTTTAGCTTTTGATTTTTGTGCATTTGCCGGTTAAGATTTATTGAGATTAATATTTAATTAATGAATAAGACACAATATATTTTAATCGATAAATGCACGAAAATCAACCGTTAAAATTTGATGTAAAATTTATTATTTTTACATATATGTAAGTTGATTTTATCCCATACAAATTTTAACTGTTAGATGTATGAAAATCAACGGTAAAAATTTGATGTAAGACTGATTATTCTTATACTGGTGTAAAATGATCTCAGAAAAAATTATTTCTGCAGTTGTGACAAAAATAATTTGTCTGCCACAAACACAAAAAAGGAGTAAACTCCATGAAATTTTTCTCTCTTATTTTTTTTATAGTTTCTTTCTCTCAATTTTGTGGCTGTGGCATAAACTATTTTTGCCATAAGTGATGAAATAGTTTACCCCATGTAACAATTAATACTTATTTTTAGCACAAATTTCTAAATCTAACTATTAGAACATAGAGGGGGATATTTTGACCACTAAAAGTGTCCACTACCACCTTACTACTTATCAAATCACCATTGGATCAAAGAGAGAATGTTAAAAAGTTTTTGAAGAGAGAGAAAATATTAATCCAATGGTGATTAGATAGGTAATAAGATGACAGTGAAAATTTTTGGTAGTCAAAATATCTTCCCTCTAGAACATATATAACACCAGATGATTGAGTAAATATTTTTATTTAATAGATCAACTTGCATATTCTTTTTTTGTTTGGGACTACCCAGTTGACTCCCGTTGATTCAATGGCCCAAACCAGGGGACAGGGCCGTTGTTTCTAAAAGATCAGCACAAAAAACACATCATTCGGATAAGGATAAATCGCGAGGCTAACTTCAGCTTGACCAGATCCACACTAATCCACGAGTTACTACCAGAGTCACATCTGTTAACACTTTCCCTGCCATAGACACACAGAATTTTTTGTGAAAGGATGAAATTATGTATATTTCAAAATTTAAAATTAAAAGAAATTTTTTTTTTGTGAAGGGACAAAATTACATTTTAAAGACGCACTTATCACATAATACATTATGTCGAAGCTGCAATTTGGACAAAAGAAGATGGCGCCTCCATTTTAGCCCCTCTGTCCACCCCGCCGTATGTATGATATCTAAATCTCGGCTGTTAGACGCTTTTATTTCTAAAATAAAATGTTTTATCGGTTTAATTCATTATGTGGAATATTTATCAATTTAATATGAGTAAAAAGTGCACAGGGAGTGTATGTTTTTTTTTTTTTTTTTTTCAGTAAACTGAAAGGTATCCCCACCCCATTCGGGGTGAGACTAATCTCAAACCGAGCACCGTAGGACCCTTGTGGGGGCGGCTCTACCCAATCCTTTTTTTCCATACTCAGGGCTCGAACTCGAGACCACTGGTTAAGGGAACACAGCCTCCGGACCAACTGTGCCAAAGGGTTTGGGTGGGAGTGTATGTTTTTAAACCGCCCATTATCTTATATGCAATTTATGCAAATGCAAAAGACGACTATCACGTGTCATGCATGCGTATGTGATATTTATGCGACTTGAATGCTTATAACCAGGTATGCGTCTTGATCAAATGCTAATATTTCAGTTGCTAGCAAGTAAGCTGAGTAAGTGAAAAGGAAAAGGGCTCAGTTCGATCCTCATACGTCATTTTTGGGAAGAGTTTAAATATCTTCATCTCTAAATCGCCTTGCACTCCAAATTAGTTCCATAGCTGTCTCAAAGAGGCAAAGCTTGTGAGAATACTAGGGGAGCCAACTCGCTTCAAAGAAATAATTAGAGTTTGATTAATTCCAAAAATAAAAAGGTATGTGTCTTGTATTGTTTGCACATCATGCATAGAGGTGATGTGCGACTGAAATACGCACACTTTCTATATATGTTTTACTTGTATTAAATTAATAAATAATTTGTTAAAAGAAAATATTCTCCCTACATGGGTATTGAAGTTCACAACAGTGATTCAACAGAAAATAAAATGGAAATTGCAACTCGAGAGACTATTGAAAATGCTGATAGTTCAGCCCAATGATCTGACGGCCCACTATTCTTCCTTAGCCCGTCACATAATCACTTAGATAACTGGGCCTCCTTTTTACCCTCTTTAGCCCAGCCTTCTCGGAGCTAACCCGCTCCATGTGCCCCACCTCTAGATCCGTTACAATCTTACATATAAAAAAAATGTCTTCATCAAACGTTGCAAGCAAAAATTGTTGCAATTATGTAGGAAATATTAATTAATGTAATTAAGTGATGTAGAACGAGTGTCTCAATCTTAAAATAACTTAATTAATGTTATCGGAACATGGATATGCGTGTAAGTTTATTATTATCCACAAACAATCAAGTGTTACTGTGCTAGATTGACATTAAAGGATCAAAGGAAGAGGAATTAAGTTTAGCATTTCTTGGTAAAACAAGGAAAAGGCAAAGAAAAAGTTGTGGTAAAAAGTTGTTGAACGAGAAAAGAAAGAACTTTAGGCGCATGCTACCTGCTCTCTCTTAAGAAACATTCCAATCGTGGCCCTCAATCAATTTAACTAAAAAGCAAGGATTCACCTTTTTTAGTATGGTTCTGCATCAGCTAATGCTCACCCGTTTTCGGATATAAAACCACATACCAATACTATCCATTACTCCTCGTTCTAAGGCTTTTAGAATGATGGAAGGTATGGCAAATGTGACTGCTATCTGAGAAACGTGCAGTGCAGTGCCGTGAAGAATTTAAAAATCACGCTCCTACCCCACCAAATCTGATCGAAATATCTCTGGCTGTGACATGAAAACGACGGTTTCATTGCGTTTGCTTGCTACCCCATTTAGTGAAAGGTCCAGAAATTTCAATGGCTACACTTTTCACCAACGCAATCATTCATTCTAAATTTCTAATGTTTCCAACTCAAATTATTAAAAAAAAGGGGTCGAACATGACAAAATTAATTCTTGATGAGAAACGTACACATTTTGATCAATTGGAATTTGTGACCACATGGCAATTGTTGCTGGGGTCTGGGATTACCCTTTTTTTCATTTAATTTCTGTTTCATAATTGTCTCTAGTAAACATTGGTCATCCATTATGACATTGAGTCCAACCACGCCTAGTCAAAGAATTCTTCTTCTAACATTATACATTAAGTTAGAATTCACAGCTACTGCCGTGAAGGAAAAACTCGAGATTTTGTGGTTCAGCAAGCAAGAGAACCGTAGCAGAGGAAGAAATTTAAAACTTGCACGTTTTCTCAGTAAAGATGGGATGATAATTTAACGATAGAGTTTGTTCTTATTTACCATTATCACAACTATAAGATGAAGGAAGAACCACTACTCCTGTGGTGTAATATTAAAATTAAGCATTTAAAGCATAATTTTTTTCTCTGATATGCTGAAAATTATAAGTATATATGGTTAGAGTGACACCGTTAGAAACTAGTATATGAAGGGGGGGAAAGGGGGGGCTTGAGAATGTGAATTAGAATTCCTAAATTATGTGTTTCATAATGTCAGTGTCGGTGTAGGACGAAATCGACCTAATAGAGTAGAGGTCACAATCTTCATCCATTGAATAGCATGTGCCATTGTTGGAGAGAGAAGTGACGCCTCAACTCGTAAGTCACGTTTCATTGTAGATTGAAACGTTCTTGTCACGTGTTGTTGGCCATCAAAAGGATACAAGCTTTTCACCCACTAACCTTTTCCTTGACCTACCAAATCATATGATTATTTTGCTTCGTACAACAGCAAGTTAA